GGTTACAATCAAGACTGAGCTAAAGCAGCAAAGCAGATAACATTAGGTTTATAAAATGTTCTTTCTTGTAATGAGCAACATTACTTCTCTAATTATATTTGTTAGAAACCAATCTATGAAAAATATTGTATTTTCTGGTTTCATTAGGACCACATTTAACATCTTCTGTTCATATCATTCAATAGCAAAAACTCAATATAGCCAAACTATAATATTTCTCTTCTTTTTTCTGTTGTGGTTGAGGCTCTATGTGCCTTAAATTCACCGTTCACCCATAAATGAAAGTTGCATATTGTTCCTCTTACCTGAGGTGCTATTTATCATTTGAGGTTGTTTTGGTGTAAGCTGCCAAACGTTGGAAATACTGGCGGTAGAGATGTCTGCCTTCTCTTGAATATAATGGTGTTTAAAGGACCGAAATAATACATTTGAAAAACTCAACAGCAATGCCTCTTTACAGAACTCAAGACCGGGTTACTAAAGACAATCCAAAGACCTTGATGTGGGTAGTTTAACGTAGGATTCAGGTTCCAACCGTATCATCGCCCAGGAGGAAAGGCCTGTGACAGCGCCAGATGTAAACATTAATGGCGGCCTCGCTGGCTGAGCTGTAACATTACCTAGCAGTATCAAACTGCATGCTTCCCTCTGCACTGTGATACAGTTGCTAGGTGTAGTTTGGCAGAAAAAAAAAAAAAACAAAAGTTCCTACTAGGGTTGTAATCAACCAAAGAAAATCTTGGTTGACTGAAATTCTACCTACTCAATCGATTCCTCAATGGGGGGAAAAATCTGCTGATCTGATTGACCAAATTGCCACAGTGCACTGAGTGCACCAAACCTGGTGGCATTTTGTGTCCACCAAAGCGTTTTTTTCCCTGTCAGGACTGGGCATGAAGTCCTGCCCAGGGCCAGTTAACTTTCTGTCCAGGCAATGCCCTGAGTGAAATACAAATGTTATGCCCAGTGTAATAATGTCCAAAAATAAACTGTGCACACTTAACTTTTTTCCACCTCAATTGCGTGCGCTGGTCTGTCTCACCACAAAATCTTGAACAGGACTGATGAGAAAAATCTGACACATTGGACCCTACTGAAACTAACACTGGGGTTGCCAATATATCACTGTACCATTGCATCCAAGAGAGAGGCTTACTACTTTGCTACGCTGAGCTCATCACTGTCACCAGCCGCTCCATCACAGTGGATAAGGGGCGAGACAAACACAGCATAGACCAACCGACACAGAGAACAAATACAAGTGCTAAACAACTACAGCGTTCATTTTTCAGCTGGATAAAGAAACGCTTCAGGAGACACATGGCCTTATTTAAGTAACACCAGCAATTGTCCAACCAATAAGAGTTTGGTTGGATAAGAGTAAAACAACCAAACAACTGACCAACAGATGGATTATTCTGAGTAACCGGGTCATGATTTCTGAATTCCGTTAAGTATATAAGTGGGGTTTTTTTTTCACACTCTGAACAGCACAAGCCGAGTACCATCTAGTTCCATTATTTTTTGAGAGAAGGCAGACATCTCTACAGCCAACATCTCCAACACTCTGCAACTCACACCAAAACCATCTATTAAGATAAACAGCACTACAGGTAACAGGAAAAATATGTATTTTTGATTTTGGGGTGAACTGTCCCTTTAAAGCAGTCCAGCACATTTCACAGGAAACTGTATCTGAACACAGACAGAATAAACAAGTAGAAGCAACATACAGAATGAAACAATAACTTTTTGACTTAACCAGTTTTCACTGTGATTATCTCATATTATTTTGACAATAACATGTTATGGATATAGTGGGGTAAACATAAGATTTAACATTGTATTTTTCCTCTATATTCTTATTCTATCGTGGCCGTAAGAGCTCAGCACACTGCAACTGAAGAACACAAACATTTCCTCCAATTTGACAATACATATGCAGCTTGAACAGACAAACCGCAGATACAGAAAGTAGAAGAAAGTATAGATTGGTATGTTTATTTGAGCTAGTATCCTGCACCATATAGTGCCCAGCCTGTGTGAGCCAACAACACACTCGACAGCGACAATAACTAGGAATGTAGAAATGCAGCAAGCCATATACTACATGTGCTGTGCCAGTTACTTAAAACTTTGAATCAATTACTCATTACAAATTTCTCATTGAAAAGAAGCACTTTAATAGTAAGTCAACAGCAGGAAAAATGAGCAATTACTTCTTACTTTCCTTTTGTTGCTCAGCTCAGCTCTGTCAAAGCTGCCTTCAAACAACTCCAAAGGCTCCACACCCACACATCACACCTTCTGTATTTAACACTTGTGGAAATGTAAAACAAGACAGTGTGGTTCAACAAGCAGCCGACCTACAGTTAGACCATTTTTGCAGGCCATTATCACCTAGCTCAACAGCACTCTAGAAATACCATCTTTACGACAAAGCTGCGGGGTTCAAACAACTTCCAACAATAAAGAACACCCAGGTGACTCCTAAATGCAGGTTTACCGGTGGCTATTATTATCAAGCCAGCTGAGAAGACGCAACATGCAGTGTAATTAAGGCAATTTTGGGGTCACTGGGAGTCAGATTGTGCCTCTTTTGGTTGAGGCTAGCTGCATCCCCACACCTCCGTCTCTTGAGCCAAGTCAAAACATCCTAGACTAGTCTCTCAACCAAATAAGCAGCAATACTCACGTTACTGTAACACTCAGTGCTGTGTTGTTGCCCAACTGCTAACTCATAATAAAACTCTTGGACCAGACTGGTGACACACATTAGTTTACAGGAGTTACCATTGCGTATTTGTATTCATGGCCATCGTCAACATTAAGGGTGTGCCATTATAATCTCATTTACGATAATACTGGTATGATTTTCAATATCATATGAAAATAAATAGGGATGCACCGAATATTCGGTAACAGAATATATTCGGCCGAATATTGCAAAAAAACACACATTCGGTCTTCGGTGGAATAAGTGAAAAGCAAGGCTGAATAATAGCGGCGTGTTTTGATAACGCAATCAAACTGCGTGCGGTGACGGACGGAGTAAAATGTCGGCAGTGTGGCAATATTTTATCCCACCGGTTGTGGGTTGAACGGGGGTCACAGACACGGACAGGAATACGTATTCCTGTTAAATACGGCGGCCATCGGCTTACCAGCGACGGAAAAGTCCAGCTCCAGGTGAATAACTTGTTGTCATGACTGCCCAAAAGTACCTGAACAGCCGAGCCATGGCGGCACACAGTACGCGGCATATCAGAGGAGAAACGAGCCATTCACATTTCTCTCTTTGTGGCAGGTAACGGTCCACAAACCTCACCGCACTTTAGGGACTGTTCTTTAGTTATGAAGGGACTGTTCTTTACTTATGAAGGGACTTGTCAGGGGAGGAGGGTGGCTGGTTGATTTTTATTTTATTTATTTATTTTATTTTGATCCCCCTATGTTAATCACTTATTGATGCTGTTTTTGAAGTATGAATAAGTCAATAAGTAATTTATTCCATTGAAATATCATTGATGTATTATAGAAAAGTGATTTATCTTTTTATAAATGACAAAAGGCACATCTGCCTCATTTTTGCTGTGGTATCCTGATACTACTCAGAACCGTGATACTTTCACTGGTATCATACCGTGGGTCCAAATTTTGGTACCGTGACAACACTAATCTGGAGGGGGTTCATCGCAAAAACTAATGAAAAACTAAAGAACGTATTCAGTATTCGGTATTCGGCCAAGCGTTTAATATTATTCAGCTTTGGCTACAAATTTTCATTTTGGTGCATCCCTAAAAATAAATACTGTGATTCTTGCGATATTTTGAATATCGCAAGAATCACAATATTTATTTTGCACCAAAATGACATTGTGATGTCCTGAATGTTTTATGAACAGCCCCAGACTTCTCAGCCTCTTTTAGTGAGCTATCACTCAGAGGGAACTCTCTGTGTCGTCAAGTGATTTTGTCATAAACCTTTGGTAATATAAACCTATGTGATGTTATCGTAGCTTAACAGCCTGTTGCAGGTTACAGCGTGACGATTAGAGGAGAAATGGCAGAGGGGGAAATTACATGTTTATTTATATATATAAAGATCCCAGGGTACATTTTTGTATTTGGGAACTGTTTAAATGTGTAAGTTGTGGTAGATCTTATTTTGTTGAACTTTTAATATTGTATACATAATGTGAAATCATGAAAAACTATGTCACTTATTTAGTTGCAGTTCTGTTTTCCTAAATTAATATTACATTTTTTTTATTTTATTTTATTTTTTTATTTACTAATGTGTCATATCGTCAAGAGTATTGTTGTCGCAATATTACCCTGAAATATCGTGATATTATTTCAGGGCTACCCCTAGTCAACACCTAAATAAATATGTACAAAAGTATAACATTAAGCATATATAACATATTTTCCCACCTGCAATAGCACAACTTTGTAATATTCTCCACCCATTCTCTTGTTAACTGCTCTATAGGTTTTTATTTAATCTTAATTTTAGAAGGGTACCCTGGTACCAGTTTATCTATTATTAAGCTGGCTGGGTATTACAAAAGGCCTAGCTTAATTAACTATTTTCTTATATCTAGCCTAATTATTCTCAAGCTAACATCTTAAACTCTACTCTTACTGTACGTCTACTAGCAATACATTTAACTTGAAATAAATGAAACACAGTTTATAGGTCACAATAAAAGCCATGAAACAACACTGAATAAACAACCGTGGATGCTCCACATTCGTTAGCTAACGTTAGACATATTATGCTAACCGTTAACACTGTCAGTAGCCTGTGAATTGCTTATTGTAATTGCTAATGCTAGTCATTTATGCTAATCGCTACCACTAGTCATTTATGCTAATAGCTAGCGCTACTCGGTTATGTTAATCGCTAACCCGCGACCTGCTAATGCTAACTGTTAGTCCTTCCAGTACATACACATATCCCAGCCTGCCATGAAAACTGTTTACAGTTCTCTTACCTGTACAGTTACAAAACTGTGACAGCAGTCAACAACACGGCGTTTACTCAGCAGACATCCGCTCTGCTGTCGCTCTTGACAGTGAACACGGTTGTAACCATTGTGGTTAAACTCACAGCGCCCCCTGCTGACCTTTCTTCAGCACAGACCGGCTTGGGTCCGTGTTTACTTCCTGTCAGATGGTGTCATTCACAGAAACAAAACATGGAAACAGGAAACGGTCCCATGTAGACCTTTTAATTTAGATACCTAAGTTTTTAAATTTTGGACGGCCTCTGGTGCTGCCGCAGGCACATAAAATGGAGATATTTAATGTAGAAATGGCGGGAACATTAACATTAGTGTTTTCTAAGCCGGTCTTCACGCTACACTGGAAAGTTCACCACCATTGCATCGTGGTGTGTAGTGGTTACCCCTTAACACAGTTAACAACAGGTGACAAAAAGCAGGTATTGTTGGGAAGGTTACTTTTAAGATTACAGAATACTAGTTACCCTATTTTAAGTGTAATAAGAAATGCAACTATTTTATTTACGACATCAAAGTGATGCAACTTATTACATTTGATAACTTTTTGATTACTTTTCTTATGAGACTGATTGCGATAACTAACGTATAGAGGTTTCGTCGGGTTTGACAAAAAGCATTTCAATGTTGACAGCATTTCAGTAGTGTAGTTTAAAGTAGTGTTAGAGCCTTTTCTGATTTCAGAGTAAAATATTGTTGAATTTTGAGCCCTAAGGCGTTATGTCTGATGACATGGCCACCCGCCTTGACATGTTCATCTGGTCGCAACCAGGCAACTGCAGACCCAGGTCGTTTTGAGTAATGCACAGTGATACCCAGTGATAGCAGTGTCGGCAGCCGGAATCGGGCCAGCTGATTCAGCCCGATTCTTAGGCGTCATTCGTGCCAAGTCTCAGCTGAGTCAGGCAACCAGATGCAGCCTGGCTAATTTCATCCAGTGTCAGCAGCCGCAATCAGGCCAGGTGATTCGGCCTGATTCTAGGGCATCATTCATACCCAGTCTCAGCCAAATCAGGGAGCTGGACCCAGCATGGCTAATTTCATCCAGTGTGCTGAGTTTGGGCCGATTCTGGGCCAGGTCATTTTGGCTACCAGGGTTTGAGCTGTAAGTCTAAACAAAACAAATCAAAAGCAATGTTCAAAATTTGAGTGCACATTGCCAAATAAATGGAGCTTGCTTGGACGTAGAGACAGCTCCTTGTCAGCCATCCAACACTGGATGGTGCTGCATTTAAATCTGTCCCAAAGGCTTTGCTGTCCTAGGTTGTCTGGATATGAAAAGATTTATTACATATTTTTCTTAGTACATTTATTTTGTAATTTAATTACCTAACTCCATCACATGTAACTTCCCAATACCAGATATAAACATTTAAAATTGATGAGCATGCTAGCAATTAGAAGGCTGACCCTGAGTGTAAAGCCAATGTCTTAATATCTAAAATAAGCATTCTAGTTTCTGCTCGTTGAGGTGAGGTAGACATATTTATCAGTGTTTGTGTGCCCTGGAAACTTCCATTGTGTTGTGTTGGTCTAGCAGCACTTCTGTGTTTGTGTTTCCTGCTTCGTCTCTCTAACGGTTTCACTACATTTCCATAATATTCTCACCCTGCATCCCTCAGACCTCCAACATGGCTGCACAAACCTGACCCAACGCCTGCAGAGCAGTGGACATTTGTTGGCTCTTCATCCATTCCAAGGCTCTCCATTATGGCTCCGGATGACAGATGTAGATACGGCGGTGTTCTCCCCCCAGGCTGTAAAGCACGAGGCCTAACCTTCCTCACAGCAGAAGTAATGGTCCACACCTTTAATTGTCGTGGGCTGTTCATCTTCACTAACAATAGCAGTAAGCAATGGGTCTGGGAAAGAAAAGCAGTCGTGTCTGACAAAGGAAGTGATTTAGTTCTGGAGGCAATTCGTAAGCGGGCATTGCAGGAGCAGCAGTAATGTGCCGAGAGAAAGATCATATGGGGTAAGAGGCGTAGCAGACACAATAGTAGCACACAAGCAACGCTGGATTTTTTTCCCCTTCCATTGCAAAGATTTATCTGAAAATAAGAGGCAGTAAAATGTATATTGTGTGTGTCCTTCAAGGTAGCCAGAGCTTGTGTTATTGAAGTGGACATGATGCTCTCTGAATTATGGATGTTGCGAAGGCTTAGAAAGTGAGTTGGACAAGAGCAACTTTATCGTCACGGCTGTATCAGTCAGAAAACAAACAACACATCTCATTTAAAGACTTGGTCTGTTTGTGTAGGTGATCTTCAGGGTTTTGATGCCCCCTCATTATCCCATTTGATGTCAAAACATCATTTGATGCTCAACTTTCAAAAGTCTGTTTTTAGCTAGGTATTTCTTTTATTCCGCCCAGCCTTCAAAAGAGGCAAAACTGCTGCGGAAAAGATGTGTCACTGATGGGTCACTAGTTTACTGTCAGTATTAGACGCGTAAAATAAGGAATAGACAAGTGTTGTTACCAAATTAAAGCGTGTTCCCCGGGAAAGTTGAGGCCCATTAAAATGATAGATTGCATGGTGTATGCAAAGGGATGCTTTACACCCACAAAACAGTCTAATTGCATTCATTCCTGTAAGAAGTCCACAAATGTTGAATCTAGATTCTCAGGCGTATTGGCAGCAAGCTGCTAGACAGCAGATGACTAGCTTCAAACGAGTAGGGAGGGGGAGGGATGTAAAATCTTGACAAACAGTGAGAGCCAGTGTCCACATCATCTCTCGCCCCTGACAGGCTTCCCCATGCATGAATTCAAAGCTGGTAAAACCATGGCTGGATTCATTTTGATCTGACATCCATCATGTAGATCAGTGTTGTGGCTTCACTGTACTGTGTCCACGATAAGATGTTTTGGCAATCGGCCCATGACATCTGTTCGAGTCAGTCAAGAGAAACTGGGACCAATTTGGCATTTCTGTCACAAGTTATTGTTGGCTCTTTGGCTTCATTCCGATTAGAATAGTCACACAAAACTATTCCTGAATGTAATTACAATGTCTACATTGAAAAGAAAAAGTTAATTAAAAACTTCTGTATAGGAAGCTAATCATATTCACTCATGATCATTTTTTTGAGGTTGCAGTGTAAGGTGGCGTTGCATCAGATTGTGTGATTCTGTAATGTGTTCCTGTAATGTTTCCCCCCTCTGTATCTCTGCTGTGTCTTTACCCCGGAGAGGATTTGCAAATTGGAAAATTGCGAGGGGCTGCAGATTTATTCTTCTTTTATTTGTTTAAAGCAACCTGAAAAAAAAGCCTTGTAGCCAGTCACCAGGGGGTAAATGGGTGTTGTGTACTAGTTTAAAACCATTAAGAAATAAATTACATGATACTGCAATATTAATGATGTGAGAGGCAGACTCAGAGTCAGGGGTTCTTTGACGGTTACAGTGATGTGGTTCACAGCACTGTCCGAGCCTGCTCAGTATATAAGTCTCATTGCTGCGGTATAGAATCACAGATAAAGCGTTGCTGTGTTTCTGTACCAGCTTGTATGGCTCAAGCATGGCGGCATGTGTGTGGAAGGCGTTAGGCAGATGGGATGTGTCTGATATCTCTCACTCAACATAATGAGACGAGAATGCGCTTCACCAATCTTAGGGCCCGTCTGATGGCAAGAGACACAGTGCCCACTCATATGGGAGGGATCTTTCCCCTCTTCAAAGATAATGAGATGACAATGTATTCAACTATCATTAGATAGAGACAGGGTTTGGTGGTGGTGGATAGGGAGGAGGGGACGGAGGGAGAAACATTCTACAGCACTTGTCTGCAGCCTTTGATCAGACAAGAAAAGCAACTGTCATTCTTTGTATCAGAGCCGGACTCATGAAAGCACAGCTAACTACTTTATCACCACCGGTGTCACTGAAAGGCTATAGTTTGTGCTGTAGTTCCCTCAAGCAGGCGATTTCTCAAGCTCACCTGGATTGTTAGCCAAACAGGAACACACACATCTCTGTTGTTGTCACCGTGCTGCTGCTGCTGCCCAGTGTGATATGCTAAATCTTTGTCTCTCTCTGAATTCAGTCGCTTGACAAAAAATTGCAGCAGTGTAAAAATCAATTTGCCGTCACCTGGGAAGAGAAGACGCAACACTTTTGCCTGACATGGCACTCCATTGCAAGATGTCAAAAGTGCCATGTTAACAGGCTTATTTAAGCAGGCCTGACGAGACAATCTTATTCTAAGTTGACAGTTTGTTGTGGCACTTGTAGAGGGATCCATCTTGTCTTTTGTCCCCGCGGAGAAGATGATCCCTCGCATGCTGGTTTTTTTTTATTTTGTCTTTCTTAGAACACTGTGTTTTGACAAATAAACCATCCAAATCTTTTTTTTTTTTTTTTTTTCTCCCAGGCATTCTTCAGCGAGCATTAGGCCAACTGATCTGCACTGAAGTTCTGAGACTGTATTTTGACAGCAAACAATTATGCAGCGTTATCATTTATCTGGCAGAAGAAAATGTGTTTTGGTGAAGTCCAACAATCTGCGCCTGTAACGTGTAATCTTTGAAAGTTTTCATCAATTACAAATCGCCGCATTACAGTCTTAACATTTTGTACGTTATGTAAGGAACTGGTGCACATGTGGTATGGCTTCAAAAACCAACAATCAATACAGTACAATGTTTGCAACACACACTGTGCTGTTGCATCTCTCTCTCATCACTTTCCATCTCTGTTCACTGTCACACACAAGAAAAGAGAATAAAATACGAGGGAGAGCTGCTCCCTCACTCCCTAAAAAAAAAAGAAAAGAAATCAAACAAAGGCTAGGAGCAGAGCTCAAAAATAGAACAATCTGTCTACATTTGTCACACAATTATGAGAGATTGTTCAAACTTTTGTGACGCCAAAATCCCTTTAAAACCTGACAAATCATGTCTCAAGTCAGGACTCATCATCCTCTCCGTGCTTCCCCTTAAAACTCAGCAAGATGCTCATTTGAAAGTAAGAGAAGGAGACGCCTTAACATCCAATTTCCCAACATTTCATCATCGTGTCTCAATAATTATGCAGGGTTATTAGCTCAAGTATTTGTCCTTGGCATCCTTAATGCCGGCTGACAT